GTTTTCTAGTTTGAATATTTCCATTGAGACGAACATTGGAAGAATGAGCTAACGAACGAGATGACGTTTGACGAGAATTTGTGTGTGTGTGTGTGTGTGTGTGTGAGAGAGAGAGAGAGAGGTACATAATAAATCCACTATCCTTTTGGTGTTTGTGTATATTTCTAAAAATACAATCGCTCTTCCTATCCACTGATTTTCTCGAGCGATCATTGGGTTGGCGTATTTAGATTTCTAGTGCATTGGATAATTTTTTTCTACGTTAGATTCCATTTCGTCGAGTGAGCGAGTCAAGATTGTTTAGCGAACGTAGGAATTATTCACCGTGAATTGTTTCGCTAAGCGCTCTTTATTCCGCTCGTCATTTACAAAATAATTTATTCATACACAATCTAATCAAACCACATATTTCATAAGCAAAATTAATCAATACGTATTGAATAACGATTGTGTGCATTGTGATCAAGCAGGCAGTTGATTTTTTTTCTTTCTGCTTTGCCAATAGCTCATTATCACATCAAAATTAATCTAAATCATAATCTAACGAAGCACGCACATTTAATAGTGGAATTTGACTTGTTTTCCTGCTACCATTCTGCATGAAATAATTGATTAACTTATTATTGCAGTCGCTATAATAATTGATTACATTGATTAACTATTGCTTTTGTTCATTGAAAAAATCACATTGCCTTTAATCAAATATAATGTCAACATGTATTGAAATTCATTATATTGTCGACTCGTTGGCGATTAGAGCGAGATTTGTGGATAAACTTTATTTCGACCCCTTTTTTTGGTAATATGTACAGGTGTTTGCAAAGAAGAAAATAATACGAAAAGACCAAACATTCAAATATGTATGGGATTCGTTATGATAAAGCTGATGTCAATTTGATGAATTCGCTTGAATGTTGAAATTGTTTCAACACGTTACAATCGCATTGGAAGAATCGACAAATTGTAGATTAAAACTTAAGCGGTGAACATGTTTGCTAATTTGTAAACAAGTCTTTGGAATATGTCTGTTTGGCCAATATATTGTATAATCCAATAATATTACGCTTTCATTTGCTAGCAGTAAAATTGGTGCGATTCGATAAATTATGCGCCGTGCAAAATACATTTTAATGAACATTCATGCTTTATGAATTTTACGCCTAGATTCTGCCTTTTATTTTAATCGACTGTGTGCAAAACAGAAAATATTTATTTACGCAACAAAAACCTTTAAATTTTACTTTAAAAATAGATTGAAATTTGAGCAATATATCTGTTTTGTTGAGAAACCTATCGCTATCCTTGACTATACAGGGTGGCGCAGAATAACTGTCGGTTTTATATTTGGCCATGAATCAAAATTTTTTCAAGACAATTGAGTACTTATTTTTGCATACAGTAGATATGGTGAATATGTATATTTTTATTTCAGCCATCAGATTTGATTTTCCTAAAATTTTGGCCAAGCTACAGCCATAGATGTGCCGAAAAAAAATCACTTGCGACGCGCATCGATTTTTCAAGAATCAACATCCAAATCCTTACTATTCCTTTCGCGGATTGCGATTCGCGAGCTAAGTTGTGACCAAACAATCACGTTGACTTTCAAGGGCATATGGGCAAAAAAGAAGAAAAATCATAGATTCGGACACCAAAAATTCAGATAGGGTCAAAAAAACAAATTCTATCTAGTGTAAAATCGGTATCGAAAAAAAGTGAAGACCTAAAAAAAGCTCTTCACTTTTGAAAATCGATTCTATCTAGTGTTAAATGTTCCCTTCGGAGCAAAATTGTGGAGCAAAAAAAAGGTCCTCACTTTTGCAAACAAAGTCGGAAAATGACTATGGGTCCAAAAAATTTCGTTGGGGGCCAAATTTTGGCAGCAGGGGTCAGGAGATCAGACTATGTCAGAATCTATGAGAAAAATTGAGGCTGTGAGAATGAAAATGGCAATACGGGAATGAACATTCTGAAGCGCATCAAGAAAAAAAAAAATCGCAAAAGTGAACCATGAACTTCCTATGCTGCTCATGTTAATTCATGTTTCACTTTTGCATATTCAGAACTCATGATTCATTTTTGCGAATTTTTTTTCTTGATGCGTTTCATAATGTTTATTCCTGTATTGCCATTTTCATTCTCACAACCTCAATTATTCTGGAGAGAATGGTAGCCATGAATCGAAGTTCATCAAATCACATTTTCTCCATTTTAACACATTTTCGTTCACTAATTTTTTACATATAGCGTTATTGTAAATCAAAAGATGGTTATATGCAATTCTTTTTCATTGCCATAGACAGCACAAATAACAATAAATAAAATCGTAAGCAATTGAACTATCGTAATTAACAATGCATTAAAATCTTGATCTTTCAAACAATATTTTTGCAGCGCGCCATAATTTTTGGGAATCTTAGTTTCAAATTGAGACTCATTTGTGTTTGAATGTGAATCAAATAGTGGCCAAGCAATCTTTGAACCCTTATTATCTAATGATCAAAATACCAAACAAATTATGTAAACTTGGATGTAAATGCCGACTATGTATAGATGTTTGAAAAATTACGTTTGAACGCACTTTTGATTGGCATAGTATCCTATTTGTCGTTATTACAGAACAAGTATGCATTTTGATCAAATGCTCATTGGTACATAGGTTGCTTAAAACATCAACAAATATAACGGTAGACAGTCGGTTTAGTTATTTTGCATCGTACTCAAAATATAAATCTAGGAAAAAGACCGACAGTTATTCTGCGCCACCCTGTATATATCTGTAATTATAATTTTCATTTCTATTGGCAGTAAAAGAGAAGCAATAGATCAAAAATTATTTTTGAATTATTCTAAAAAAAAAAGTTAGATATATGGAATGTGTATGTTGGCGAAAGTGTCACAAAAAAAAAAATAAAAATTATTTCATTTTCTTTGAGCATCATTGCTAAGCGTCTCGTTGTTACCGTATATATCCGTTAGATATGTTCTTATTTATATACATAGAAGGTAGTCGAACACGAATTCTATGTTTAACTAGGAATGAAATTCGGTGAAGTTCAGTCATACCATAGACAGATGGCATAGATAAAAGCTCGTTGAATTGAAACCGACACCGGTACATAGAGTAGTGCGCCATCTATGTGCTACTAGTAATAGACAATTCAATAGGCGAAGGATAACTCCAGATGTCAGGATAACATACATGCAGTGCAATAAAGTCTTCATTAAAATGATAAAAACCATTGGAACGTTTCTTCTTTTATATTTTATGATATTACAATGTATCTGCATACCTATTAACCCTCTAACATTTCGCCATTCTGATGTTGAAATTGAACAAGAGAATTGGTTTACGATTGTACTTAACCAATTACGTGAGTAATTATCACTTTAAATTAAAAAAAAAAAAAAATTGGTTGGAATGTTCGCCGTTGATACAAATCTGAAGTTGGCATCTTCTTGAACGACGACAAAAAACTGACCGAAATTTTTGACTTCGAATCATTCAAATGCGTTGCAATTATCTCACTGCACATAATTTTCACCGAATTATCAAAAACGGATATGTTCATTTAATTATTGTATGTCCTATATGATTTTATCTAGAGATAAAAATATCATAGGTGCAAAATTGAAGACTAACCTAGCATGGTTGTTGTCATCATTAGCGGTAGAATTGAAAATTTGTCCAATGGTAATTGTCACCTAATACCAGCGCAAAAAAAAAAAAAAAAAAAAACAAATGGCAGACAGAAAGAAATAAAATAGAATTCAAGCACGCAATCTGATACCCAGTGAATAGTTTTTTTCATTTGAATTACACCAAGTGCTGGTATTATAATCGCTTTCATTGATCAGTGAAAATTGTGCAGCATAACGATAAGCATGTCGATCGAAACAAGGACATACTGTCTGATTGTCTTGAAATTTATTCGGCATCTTTTGTTGTATGCCCGAATGTGTATATGTATGTGTGATGGGCTCTCTATCCCCCATAACTAGCCCGATTATAATCAAATTCACACCTCATTTAGAACGATGTATCATTAACAATATCATAATTGAACCATGGCCACGCAACAAGAGTCAGTCAATTTTGAAACTCATACGCACGAATTGAGAAATAGGATCAAAAGCAAAGTTACCGGTCCCAACGGAATGGATAGCTGCTTGGTCTCCGAAACAATCATAATTACATGTTCTTCAGTCCGTAAGCATTCATTTGATGATAGGTGTTACAATATCTACACATATATCGGACCGATTCAGGCCTGATAAACATCTACTAATTAGTTTCACTTCGTTCGACTGTATGACATTTCAGTTGGCAGACACATATATGTGTAAACTGTCTGCTCGACATACATTTTCGTCTAATGGTCTAATGCCATTATCTAATCATCGTTTTTGTTTGTAGCAAATGTCGTTAAGCTGTTATTCGATTAGCTGAATGTTGTTGACCAAGTGCACTATTCATCAACACCTTTGAATCGACCAAAACTATTCACAAATAAATTCTCTTTTCCTTAATTTTCGTTTTGATCATTTTTATTTATGCCTTTGAATTATTTTTAAAATTTTTCAGTATCTGGGAGGAATAAATTCAAGTTCAAAAAATTGAACTTGACATAATATTAACATGAAAGATAAATCAAAACAAATACAATGAAATAATAATCTCAAAAAATGAAAACATTATATTATATCTCATGGGCTCTGGAAAAAAATAAATGTTATTTTATTGCACGCAAACAAATGTCGAAAAATCGAATAAAAACCAAATTTCATCGTTTAAGCAGATAATTGCTTTAATTGATTGATTTTCTTTACAATTTTAACTTACAAAGAACAAATATAGTTGCCTTCTTAACTTAGCCTAACTCGCGTATACTTTATTTATATTCATTAATTATTATTTATTTGTTTACTTTTTATTGATAATTTCCATGATTGACATCATCATTTTAGTGTTATTATCAAGAATAGTTTATTTAGTTCCAACGTATTATGAGCTGACATCAGCAGTGCTAACTGAGCCCAGTAACTGAAATCAGTTGCTGACGCGTTTAACCCAATAATTGCCACTGGTCGGAAATCCAACCAGTCAATTTTTCGAATTAAGCTCATACCTTTTCATGAAAACATATTCTGGTATTGGTTTGACAAGAATAAGTTTTTTTTTTTTAAGTTTGTAGCTTTCATTATATGCCTATTTACATTTAATTTAATAAAATGTTTAACTTGAAAACCCTGTCCGAAAAAAATCTTCAAATATGGCTGGCAGTTAATGGATTAAACACTACCGTGTTCTCTTTCTGTCGCATTCACAACTCATGCGGTAACATATTATTTGCATTCTTTCTTTTCGCCTATTTCCGAATACAGTCCGTTTTTGCGATCACCATTTAGTCTTACATTGCCAATACATTACTCATGGAGATTTTTGTTTTGTTTATTTTTTCTTGTTTGTAAACAAATTTGCCTATCTTTAAGCATTGCCTCTGTATATTTCGTATGGACTATATACTAAGTACAGAGGCAATGCTAAAAGATAGGCGGATTGGTTTACAAACATGAACCATGCTGCCGTGCCTTGATTATTATACTATTGTTGATAATGTTCAATGGTTTATTTATCATTTCCTCAAAAATGGTTTTCTATCATTTACGTAGGTTATGAGAATCATTATACGTACATTATTTAAATTATTTGAACTTATGAAGGGTGGTTCATAATTCCATGCCATTCTCTAAACCGCAGATTCCTTACCAAAATGAATCCTGCGAAAAAGATGCCTACACACTTGTCTACTTTCTATGAGCCAAGGAATCAGTGCCACTGATTCAGTGGTATAGAAAATGGCATGGAATTATGAATCACCTGGTATAGACATGAAAAAAATTCTGTTAGCATTTAGTAATTGCATAGGTCGTAGTCATCACTGTAATCCAATGCGAATCACAATGCTAAACGCATTTTCGTTTTAAATTATTATACAAGTTTGCACTTGAATCGAAAATTATCGAATAAAATGAAAAACAAAATAGAAATAGTAAAATTGACTCTAGTTCGCCTCTCATGAATGTCCCATTAAACCAAAATCCAAAATCTTGAATATAAACGCATCATCAGTTATCGAGTAAAACAAAGTCTGACAAAAAATTTGAAGAATATCATGGACAAATATATATCTGTGGCTCATAGTAATTATTAGGCCATAGCTAAACCTTTATTTATACTTTCCAAATGTTCTTTAGCTTTGATGCGGAGTGTTGCTATGGAATTGGTTCGCATGTCGGTGTTAAGGCCGATATCTTTGCTATTTCCACCGAGATCGTTAAGTGTATCACTGCTGTCATCATACTGATTCAATTGTGTTGGCATCAATTTGTCATTTGAATTGGATAAATTTTCCGGTGACGATGATGAATTTGGTGATATAATCCGAGAATTGTTCGATCGTGCGCTAATTGCCTGAGAATTGGTGCTCAGATTTTGAGGCGATGAGATTGGTGCGATCGGAGGTAGGGACTGTGATTGTGTTGCCAAAACGGCTGGCGGCAATGGAATTTGATTTGGAGGTGTATGCCGATGTGTTGCCAACATTTGTGATGATAATGCAGACGGACCGTTTGGATGCTGAGGCGACGATAAACGCATATTTTGTGGATGAGCTAAACCAAGGCCTGACATCGCAATATTTGCTGGCGTTAAACTTAGCGGTGGTGTCAAATAACTCGGATAAACGGTTTGAGGATGGGACAAAAAACCTGAGAAAAACAACAATCAAACCAAAAAAAAAAAAAAAATCGAATCAATAAATTAATTGCACTTTTTCACTTGTTCGAATTTGTGTGAAAATTGTCGGTCGAGTGTTCTTACCGGGTAATGCCGAGAGAAGAGGTGGCGACAGCCAAGTATCCATTGGCAGGCCGCCATTGCAGCCCATACGATGAGGCAATTGAGAAAAATGTGACAGACCCAGACGTAAACTTTCGGATTTCTCTTGCCGCCGCCACTTAGCGCGCCTGTTCTGGAACCAGACCTATGGAAAAATAAATAACAACACAAAAAACGTATAAATTTCAAGATTTGAAGGGGAAAACAACCAATTGATTTTATTTTCTTTCGTATTTGTAAAATGTTTGCGTCGTTTTCATTGTCGCATTGAATTAAAAGGCGAGTAAACAAAACGAATGGATGAAAGCAGAAGGAAAAAAAAAACCGCCGTCGAGTGACAAAAGACAGAACAACGTTTTTTCTGGTAGAAACGGCGCTTATTATGTTGTCTATTACACTCAGAACACACGGCAGTAGCTCCGCACAACACAGATTGTGCATTATACATGCAACTTGGAACGAAGAACGAGAGCAAAAATCATGGAGAATGAACCTAATTAAATTGTTGGCACGTGCACAAGCAAAAGTTGTATCTTATTGGCTCCCATTGTTAATGCAATCATGCCCTGAGTACACGCACAGCACTACACAGTACAATCGCAATTGTATCCTATATTAATACATTGTTTCTTCTGTAGATGTATAGATTTCAATACACATAAACATACAAAACACCGGCAACATCACATAATGAAATGGCGTTTACAATCTTGTTTTTTACCATTGTATTATGTGATATTTTTCCTCGGTTATCACTGTGACACGTCATAATAATATACTTCCGAATGTTAGCCTAGAAACATGCTTTCAATGCTTTATTGATATGAAAATTGCTACTTAAACATGGTTTCCACTTTCTTTTATGTTTTGTTGGGCGTAGATGGAACGTAACTTCAACCATCTAAAATCAATTATTTTATGATTGATTCATTGATTAAGAGAAAAACAAATTGCTCCAATTCCGTATGATAAAAGTAGAAAAATGAAAAGAAATGACGAATTGAGAAATTGCCGTGGATAGTGAAATGAGCAGTTTGAAATTATTCGAACCAACAAACATGCAAGACCAACGTTTAACATCCATTGTTTCGGTCCATTCACTTTATTCACTCTATTTGAGAGAGTGGCTTAGTGATCAAATTGGAGCTGTCAATACATTTAGGGTTGAAATGTGAATATTTCAAATCGTTTTTTAATTAACCCAAAGGGACTAGGATTTGTGTAAATAAAAACGTGTGTTTCAGATTATATTCGCTTAAATTCACCCTGCTTGAAATGAGCATTTCGAGCAACGGTTTATCTGCCTGGTAACAAAAATAACAACAACAATAACAATGATAATATCAAGAGTAATCAGATATGTTGTGTTACGTTCAATGGTGACAGTTTCAAGAGCTGAATGAATGAAATGAGGAAGAAGCGATCAAGTACGGCACATTCATTTGGCATACTCTTCAGTCGTTCGTCAAATGTATATATGTATGAGAATACAAACGGAGAACGGCGTCTATATTCGCTCTGTGATGATTCGACCCCAAAAAATAAAGTCGACTAAAAGTAAAATACCAACAATGACGGTCGTCAACAAGGAACCTTTCTATTAAAATTTGATATTGTTCTACGTTTTACGTGCATACAGTCACCAGAACCAGAAAGTTCAACAAATAAAAATGTGCTCAAAATATCACCGTATATTTATTTTTGCCGATTCGGTATTTTTTTCTTTCAATTTCTATTTATTTATGTGATTCGATGTATGGATATGAGCCATTGAACGATGAATATCAATTTGCTAAAGTCTATCTATTTCGGTTTAGCCAATTCTATTTGGCCGAGTTTAGACTTTGAATATATTCAAAATTAATTTAAATTAGCAGATAAGAATGGCTCTTTGAAATTTCTTCCTGCTAACAATTTCGACGATACTGAAGGAATCATTTCGATTTTGGTTTTGGTTCTGGTTTTATTTTATGTGCTCGTATTCTAATTCGGATTTTCTATTTACTTTATCTCCTTTTGATGATTTGCTCTGTGTAGACTTGTGTGTGTGTGTGTGTGTTTGTACATGTGCACATTTTCGATGCGAAAATCCAAATTATCGGATGCTTGCTACACTGAAGGGAGCTAATAACCAGAAAAAGGCGATTGTTCGCTTTTTTTTGTTCGCAAATTAAATTAGTCCGATTGCAGTCCTCGCACTGAAGCGTAGCGGCACATTTGTTGATCGGATGATTCGGTCTTTGCAAAACAGCCGTGGAATTGTGCCGCTGCTGCGGCTTTGATCATATAATGCGGTCTCTTAAGTGAAATTCGACACTAGGTAGTGATTCAATGCTGCCGCCGACACGAGTTTAACATACAACTGGTTGCGTTTGTGTGGTTTGTGCTTCTTTTTGTTGTTCTTCCGTAATTTGCACAATTCAAATTACGCTCAAACAGGTAAAAACTAAGAGTGACATTGTTTTCCTCTTTCTTCCTTTATTCGTTCTCTATCTCTCAATTGAAATTAGACTCATACGGCGTCTCTCTTTCAATTCGTGCAGAAAAAAACACACGTACACATTATTCTCTATTGTTATACAAAATAAAGGGATCATTAGGATGGAAGGAGATGGAGATGGAGATGAAAAGTGTGTCTCAATTAAGAATGACGAAAAAACAAAACCACCAGAATTTAAAAACATTTAACAGGCATTTCGCACATTTCACTTATCCCGACGATTATTTGTAAGGTAGATTTTTTTTTTGAAGGCAAATACATATGCATATCCGACATTCGTAAATACATAAATACATTTACTTCCATTTCCTCAACGCATTTTATTCAGCCGAAGGATATTTTTGCCGTGTTGATACAACCAGCTTCTACGATCATTGATTTGACAAAAAGAACAGCGTCACCTGGGGACTGAGTGCAATGTGCCATATCTGTACAAAAATATCTACGCATACTTCCACCGTTCGCACTAACACAAACGCGCACTCGTTATAGCTCACTACAGAGAATAAAATAAGAGAAATTGAGAACTGCCCAAAGAAATTTTTCGGGTGTTTTTAAATTGCCCAAAATGGGCAAAAATACCACTTATTCTACTCACTGGATCACTATATACATGATTCTCTATTTCTGCAATCAGTCCGCAGATGGCGCTTGACTTATCTTGTTTGACGTTGCCCATCTGTTTATACAAAGGCTCATAGAGGCAACAATGCACCAAAATTTTGGTCGATTTAATAGTAGCACTGCAATTTGGCAGCATAAAAACAATTCACATTGACGTGTTATGTCCAAACAAAAGAAATTCGACAATTTCGATCCATTCGCTTGAAAATGAGATGATGTCTGCTAAAGTGCCGAAAATATATAAACATATATGGGAATATTCATGGATTAAATGATCATGAAAATGATACATAGCCGAGATAAAGTGAAAAAATGGAGAACGATGGAGAGAAAAAAAAAAATGACAAATGAACCACTTGTGATAAATGAAGAGAAAAAAAAAAAAAAACGTGTTTCCTAAATGCTGCAAATTATCTGAAAATAATCCCTTTTTATTTATGTTTCTTTTTTCCCACTATTAATTCTATTATTGCTGCTGTTGATCACAATGTGATGTTTGAGCACCGCATCGAAATACTTTATGTCGATTGTCGAATGTCATCTATGTATTACTCATCGAAAAGTTGCTCACAATTTTTGCAAGTCGATAAAATTCTCACCCATAAGGTATAAACGTGTCTATGTATATTGTTTTGTGTTGTTTTACAGAATCGGCAAAGTACGTAAGGGCTGCCAATATTCTCACAATATATTTACTATTTCAATCTTCACTATCTCCGTTCGATCTGTTCTCGCAGTTTTTTAAATTGCATTCAAGTGTTTGGAGGATACAAAAAAACGGCAAAGATCCTGTGCGAACGTATACTGGATGCATTTAAATTTGTTTGTAAACAACCATAGCTTATATGTGCGCAAAGATGTGTGATAGAGAAAGAGAAAAAAAAAATAAAATCGGAGAAGAGAAAGAACAAAAATAAAACCCGAAACAAAAACAGCACAGCTTCATTATTAGCAGTATTAAGAATCATTTACACAATTATTCAATGTTGTTCCTATTTATTTGTGTTGTTATGGTTGGCTTAGTTTTGGTTTGTTGTTTAGTGCTGTTGCCGTCGCTATTATATTATTGCTCATTCATTCATACACGCGCGCGCTCCATTTTTATTGGCAATTAATGTGTCATACACATTTTTCCCTCTCGCTCATGGCTGCCTATCACTTTTCATACAATAGATAGCCGTGACATAAACAGTCGGGAAAAGTGTGTATTAGAGAGCGACAGAGTGACACACACAGAGAGAGAGAGAGAGAGAGAACCCAATACAATACAACAATAACAATCTGATGACGAGACCAAAGCAACAGGAAAAACATTGAATTTTGCGGGTTAACGCACACATTTTTAACGGATCTCAACTGTATAGGTGGTCGACTTGCAACAGTTGCAACGAACTAAGAACGAATCAGTCTCGTCTAATTCGAGGGGTTTGTGTGATAATGACTATGTGTGCGTTTATAAATTTCAAGTACATAATTTGCTTATACACACACACACACACACACACACACACACATTCGCTATGTTAGTGAGATCTGAAGACACTCTCTTAGGCTAATGTCCCCGTTGGCTTCAAACGTCGCACTGTTGTTGTGAGCCATAGGCCAGAAGGCCTATTCACGACATGGGTTTATGGAGGGTTCAACAATAATATACATCGCACTTATGTTGTGTGCACTGTGCACTGAGCATGAAATATGATTGGAAACACGTCGGTTTCGTCTATATTATTCGGGATTAAAGGATCATTAGCACAGAAAGTATCATTTGTCAGTCGTTTTTTTCTGAAACATTCATATATGATACGGAAAACCCAAATTTCGCGTACGTAATCGAACATAAAATCATTATGAATAAATCCAGTCAGAACGCATAAAATATTTAATAAAACGTTCTAATGAAATTCTAACTATATTTACTTTCGTCGTTTCTTCTGACGTATAATTCTTGATATAATTCAATAAAAGCCAGTGGACATCTACTATCGTGTTTAATTGAATACTGTATAGAACAATAAAAACAA